TATACCTTTACATTTACATGTATGGTTTAATTTAGTGGTGTTGCCGCCTTGAATGATTAATTTTCGAGCTGATTTTGTTTCAACAAGATTGATATGTTGTAATGGAAATAGAATTAACAAATCTTTTATGATTGTGCATGTAACATTCAATGTTTGCTTCCGTTGTATTTTCTCTCCTCTGTTCTCATCTTCGTTTCGAATGATAATAAGGGTAGTTTATGAAAATATTCGCTCTGATTAAGTCTTCCAAAGTGTACTCAAATTAATTGACATATATTGTAGTCTGAAACGGTAGGTCCAGATTCCATACTATTCCCAGCTGAGTGATTTCAGGAGACATGATAATCGAGAATTGCTTGTGCCAAGTGTAGTATCATTTGTTGATGATGACTTATCGTATTTTACCTTAATGATCAGTAGTATAGTCACTGTGCAATAATGCGAGCCGTTATTTTTATCTTTATTACTGCTATTATTATTGTGATAGTAATATCTAATGAAAAGTATGTAGTGTTTCTAACGAAAGTATTGATCAATAATACTTGTACGATAAAAATATAGGCGCGAAAGTGAAACAGTGCTACAACTGAAAAGCTTGAATCCCGGTGGGAAACTTGCAGTTGGTGTATTAGCTGGAGGTAAACCAGCACTTGAAGAAAGTAAGTGAATTGTTGCAAATTGAATATGATCGATGAATTAATATTGTATTATAATCACACCTATATTTTTTGTGATCTCTTTATAAGAAGGCAACATTGAAATATTCATTGCTTGTAATAATGCACTGTTCAGTCCGACTGTTTATATTTCATTTCACGTTAGCCACTTACTGTGCTTCTCAAACTCTGTGCCCTCCTTTGGTCGTATGGTAAACCAGTAACCCTCTTCTTATTTATCCCTTTAGCAGTCCCTGAAAAATCAAAAAATTCATCAATTGTTCACAAGCTTTCAAAGTGTCAAAAATTAGTGGTATCAATGAAATAAATCACTTTTTCGTGATCCAACACATATTTGAAGATATTAATGCGATGAAAGACCGATCATTCAGCAATCATTTGTCAATCTTCTCAATTTTCGCTCCTCTAATTTCCTGAAATGTCCCTCTCCTGCCGTCATCAGAGTGTAATCTCCCTATCATGAGAAACACTAGTATAATGTATGTGTAATTTGTCTGAACAAGTATGAAATCAGCGCGGAAAAGATGCATCGTTGAATGAAGTTACATTTGTTATGCATATAAGTGTTTGCCATTGATCGATTCAAAAATGTGTTAGTTAATGGGTTTTGTTAAAAAGAAAATGCATTCAGTTGATCATTGATTCACGGATGCACTTTACAGTTGGTGGATGCTAACATGTTATTTGTCTATAATGGAGTGTAAATGTTGTGTTGTTTCCATTTATTGTTCATTAATTGAAAATTTATTGTTCGATTGCGTCGCGTTTTGTTCATGCAAGTATTCTTGTATTGTATTTAGCAACCAAGATTTGAAAGCATATCATATAAGGTGGAATGATTTGATGGTATAGTACGATTCCTGCGTTCCTATCTTTTGAAGGGTGGAAGAAACGGGAAAAAGAAGAGGGAAAGAGAATGGAAAAGTAAGGGTAAGGAAGAAGGAATTGGGTAAAATAAGAGGCAAAGGGGAGGAGTGAGGGAGAAGGAATAAAACGTAGAGTACCCGTCCCAAAATTCAGCTTTAAATTCCGGATCTCATCATTTTGTTGCCCCCTTCCCTCCCCCTCGTAAAAATTCCCGGTTATGCCACTTGTATGGTAATTATTTTTTTAATTGATGAATTGATCAGAATTTTTATGTTAACGGTGTTTAAGATCGAATTTCATAAAAATAATTGAATAATGTTTTCAGCATTATCGGGTCTTGAGCCTGGCCATCGTATTCAGTCATTTGATGAAGCGAAGCGTTTAGATCAAATAAATGAACGTATGCCACCAACTATGAATACACCTCCTGTGCAGTCACCTTCTGCCAGTCCCTCTTCGAAACGATCTTCGGCAATATCTTTGAACACTGTTACCACCATTCATATGACAAACAGTACTAAATCTTGAACTTTTATTTTTTTGATTTCAATTATCGCTCTCAGTAGTACTATTATCGATTGTTCTCCTATAAAATACTTGTGATTTGCACGCTCTGATGTTAACAGTAAATTAGTAGACCTTTTATAAGTTTTTTTTTGTCTTCAGTAATATGTGAAGTTCCTATATATTCTTATGTAGTATGATGCCATAAATGCACACTCATTTGTTTGACAAAAAGGTTAAAAACTAAAAAACGATAAATGGTTTATTAATGATCGAAATTGATGAAGATTCCAAATGCAAAATGAATTTGAATAGCGTAAATGTAGATGATAAAAATTTGAATATTGAATAAATTTTATATTGTTGTATATGATCATGGGAAGTGAAGGTTGTATTATTTGAAGTGTAATTCCTTTTTATGAAATCAAATAGAACATTCGATGTGCTTGTGTTATATGTCACCTTTAGTGTTTTTATGAAAATGGATTCAGTGAATTTTTGATTTTATTCCAGTCATGGCTTTATTTTGTTTTATTTCAATTGTTTCTTTTATGGATACACAAACACTTCCTTTCTTGTTTCATTGAATGATGCCAATTTTTATAATAGTGATTTTAATGCTATTTTAAAATTATTATTAATAATCATTGTATATTGCTTTCACCATTATTATTATTATTATTATTATTATCATTATTATCGTTATTATTCTGATTATTATTATCATTATTATTCTGATTATTATTATTATTATTACCATGTTTTATAAATGTCTATGTTAAATATTCTTGTTGAATAATGAGTATTCGTTACTGGTAGGTAGGCTTCTTGCCCGAATCGAATAAGTTGAAGTGAATATGATGTAGCCGGAAAAGGGTTCACTTCTGTAGTAATAATTCAGTGATTAGTCCATTGAATAAGGAATTTGCAGGAATATTATGACATATGTGTGTATGTCTTTGTAATTGTTAAGCGTTATGACAATTGTGGTTGATCAATTCGGATAAGAGTTGCATTCGTTTGCTGATAACCAATCATCTGTATGTGTCCATTTGCGGATTTCACGCTAGGCATCTAGTAGGATGCTAACATCAATGGTATGCCCTAAATTGAAACAGTCAATGAAGGTCGTCTTTATTAAGACTAGAAACGAAGTGAAATTGAACTAGGGATTAGAGACATCAATTTTGTTAAGTTAGATTCGGTCAAGAGGTGGGTGATGTGTCGTAACCATTGCATCGCCGCATCTATGAGTCCGCTATTATTTTCAGCTGGTTGATCCACCTTCGATCAGTGCTCACTTTGCCTAAGTACATGAAAATATTCACAGTCGAACCCTTTCTTCAGCGTATCCTCTGCATTCATCCAGTCATCACAATTCTAATGCTTACGCGCTACGCTCTTATTGTCCCATTCAACACTCCGTTCTTTTGGTCATTCATGCGGTCGTTCTTATGACTTATTATTGGTTCGTATTCCATGTTTCTGGGAGCGTTAACCGCCCATCAACCATTTTAAATTTCATTTCTGTCAGTTGTTGCTTATTTGAATTGTTTTCAACAAATTGGCCATAAATCTGACTGTCATACGTTGTACTGAATAATTGGTAAGTCAGTTAAATATTATACGATCGTCTCTATTAAATCGACATTCTTTAATTGGTTCATTATTCGTTATTTATTTATTCGTTTTAATTCAATTTCTATTAAAAGTTGTTTGTTCTTTTCTTATCTTGTCAATATCAATAATCATTTATCAATGAATCAAAGAATTATTTTATCGATTTTGAATTAGTAATTAGTTAGTAATTTTTCGCTTATATTAAAACAGTCAGTGTCTCATTCAGTCATCTATTAACAAAGTTGAACTGATTAATTAATAGCTGAAGTTATTCTAATTTTGTATGTAATAAGTGATGGGCAATAATAATATAGCTGATGATCATTTTATTGTTTATGTATCAATTGATATCAATCAGTTACTGATATTTTCGCATACCTTTTAGATGAATTGATTTGTTTGTTTTAGTTTGTAAATTTTTGATATCGAGGACGTTCCCCTCCCCTCATTCCGCGCACCCCTTCCGCGATTCCCTTTCTGGATTCCATTCAGCTTGTTCCTAAGTTTCCAAATGTGCTTGACGTTAATGGAAATGGGATGGTTGGTATCAAATTTCAAGCAACTATAAAAGTTACGAAAATGTCCTCAAATACGAGATTTGCGAGCATAGTTTTCTTCTTTCTTGTGTTTTTATGCTTGAAAGTATTAAGGGTAAGTAAACCCCATTCGGACTTGGCAGTACACACGACTATGTATTATCTTTATGTGCTAGAATGAGATTTCAGTTTGGATTCAGACAGACCCTTCGGCATAGACTGAAGCCTGCAAGTGGCTTAAGTTACCGCTACACCCACACAATGTTCACAGATTGTGCAGTGAACCTAAATCAGTTGAGTTACGAGTATAGCGTTATTCCTAACGCTCTTAATTTTATCGAGCAGTCTTGTTGATCACCAAACGTGGGACTTCAGGTGATTAACAAGAAGGCTTAGTGTATTGAGGAAAGCTGAAGTGTGAGATCTAGCGCTACAAATAAACAAATAATTGTGAAGCATGAAATGTTCATGTTGCAATAACAGCCATTCAATATTACAAAGAAGACTGGGAAGAAGACAGAACTGACAAAACAATATAGACAAGTTGCGAAAGAATTTATTGTATGGACTCAGAAAACTGAAGATTTCAACAATCAGCGGGTTGTGATAACTTAATTAACGTATTTCTAATTTGGGAATTTCAAGGTTCTAGAAAACGTTTTCTCGTTAGATTTGTGGAACGATTCAGTCTTTTACGGATGGAATATAACATTTAGAGAGAATTAAAGGAAATGGATTGGTTGGATAAGGTGCCATCTGAAAAACTGAAAGCTATTCTGATGAAACCATAAAGCGCGAGGAAACATTTTTGATGTTCGAAGGAAAAATAGTGAAATTCAAGAAGATCATTTTCGATCCAGTTTAATAAATGTTTAAAACAATAAAATGTATTCGGGTAAGAGTGATATGAACGAATAATCAAATTGGATGTTGATTAAATATCGAAAATTGAATAATCAATATTTAAGTGAAGTGTTGTGTGATTTTAACGTTTCGGTATTTGGTATGGTAGTGACCGAGGATAGCAGTGCTGAAATGAGTAAAGTGAACGAACAGCACATGAAAGGTCAGTCTTGGAATGGTGCTGCTTTTACATTACACGGTTAAAACAATTAGAAATTAGCTCACTGTAGTCAAACTGAATCGTCACACAATACCATCTCATGGCCACCACAATCAATCAATGCTATTTCAGCTTCTTTCTCGGAGCGTATGAACCGCATCCCAATACTCTCGTAGTCAAAATGTATGATAAAGATATTCTAGTCAAAACTAGAAGCCGGTCAAATTAAACCACAATGTGCATTTCCGTTTGATGATTGCATTAAAAGTTTCTTCATCAAAATTAGCATTTTATTTCAGTGTTATACAACACAGCATAATATCACCTATAGTAACAATTTAATTCGTTCCTCTCAAAAATATGACTGCAATGTATAAAAACAAACGAAAATGAAGCAAAGTGCATTGAGATACTCACCGGCTATGAAGTGAGTTCGAAATAGACCAGCCAAATGCAACTGTTCATTATGAAATCAACCTCACCAACTACGAATACAAATCAAGCATATCATTCTGTCCTTATGAATTCGGATGAATATTGTTTTCATAAAGAACACAGTCTAGAGAACAGTTTTAGCGTAATCAGATAAAT